CTCATTCCAATTACAGAAAAGACTGATTGAGGAGGGAAACCCTCGATATCTTGTTGACCCATAAACACCGGTATCTTACTTTCTTTGGATTCGCCCTGTTTACTGTAGACAACGACGCCGCTCTTATTGTGCGTAAGTACTTTTTTCCAACCATTCTCCTTGACAATATTCTTCAGGGCATCCAAAGCACTTTCCGCCTTTCGTATGTAGTACGCTGTGGTAAACTTACCGGGATCAACTAAAGTCGCACCAAAATCTTCTTCGGAGTCAACCACCTCACTCGTCAATTCTTGACTAGATTCTTCTTCATAATCTTCTTCAGAGATTTCCGGATACACTTCATTCATTTTTAAGTTTAGATGGATGGATGGATGAATGCTTATAGTGAAAGCGAAATAGGTGTGTGACTCTGTCAAAGAGGAAACAATTTAATGAAGGTTTTCGCAGGAATAAACTATAGAAGGGAAACACGGGCACGGGATTGAGTTTAAGGACAACAAGCTTAACCTTATGGTTTCGCGTTAACCGTGCCTTTTGTTTAAAAACGAATATATATATATATAATTTCCGATTAAATAAAAAGAGATTTTGCAAAAACTCATATTTATACGCACCGGTCATAAAGGGGGGGAATATGCACTCACGAATTCTCTTGGCTTAACATATTTGGCAAATGCAATATATAATATTCAGAGATCGGTGTTCATGGATCTCGTGAAAGGGAACATCATCGACCAAAATGGCATCTTTTAATAGAATTTAATAAATTTCTTCTATCACCGTAAACAAAGGCCCTCTGGAAAAAATGAAAGTAAACACGGAGATCCAAAGCAATAAATGTATTAGACGAACCGATAGTATAATTATACGAGCGTTCTCTTTTTTGGTCTAAACGTCGGTTAACAATACTGTGAATGGAAAGAATCCATGCATCGCTAATTAAACATTCCATTGTAGTATAAATTAACATTGAGGATAGTAATTCATTACGTAATTGAAAACCGTTATACTGTATTATTGGGGTCAGTTGGAAAATCTTCAAAATAGAAACCGACAATTCATAACTATTTAAAAAAAACTTTAACAAATATAATTTATTTTTTTTGGTAAACGTGATAATAAATAACTCAATGGAAAATCTATACGACTTTCTTGTTTAAAAAATATATCGTTCAGAATCTACAATTTCCATTAACACGTAATGGATTATTTTTAATTTCTAGTTCCCTCTTTTTTTTGTCAAATAAATAATTATAATACTGTATTGTTAGAATGTTAGAAAAAGGAAATTTTGGTTGTTGCGTGTGCTGAAAAGCGAAGGCCCCGACGAGTTATTAGGTTCCCATTTATAGTAATGATCAGAGTAGTGCTCAATAAAATCGACAGGTGCGATAATGGTATTTAAGGAATAGAGTGTACCTTTTTTTTTATTCATTGAATAGTGTATTTTTCTTTTTTTGGTTCATTATTTACAATGCATCAAGACCAAGAACCGTGCCAATGACGAAAACCTTGGTAATATTCCGAGGTGCTACCGTCGAAAGGAAATATCTTTGGTATACATTCTATAACTCTTTCTCTATCAACCACGATCATCTCTTCCACCATCACCTTGGAAACCTTGTGATACGAACCCAAATGACAGCAAACACCTTGGTAATTATAATGCTTGCCACCTCTTCCCTTACACAGTCGACATCGATACACTTCACACTGTGAACATCCATGATTAAGTGCTCCTAGTACCGTGGTAATAGATCCAGGTCGTATCGGACCTGGTAACTTGTGCAACTCGATGGCCTCTTTGCGAAGCTGAGGGATCAAGTCGAGAAGTAAGTATTGGGTGCTCCATGGATTTCTCGGATCATTGTTGATGAACGGAGGGTCTTGATAAGATGGGCACCACCTTAGACACTCCAAAAGCGGATCTGACACCGAAACCTGGTAATCTGTTATTCCGGTCGGATATGTGCGTGCCGTATTATCAGCAGTTAATAAAGATAGGATACACGTGCATATCTGCTTCCGGCGCTGTTGTTTCATTAATTCCTCGTATTCCGTCATCATTGCACGCTTTAAGATTTTCCAGTCTTTTTCTATGTAGGGTTCTCGAGAAAGTTCGAAAGCCTTGGTGCACGATTTTAATTCCCAAATCCAACGAACAACATATTTTGACTCCCCATCATCACGTTGCATATCTCTTAACTCATGAATGATCTTTTCAAATTCTTTTTTGTCTTGCTTCCTACGAGAAATTAGCCAATAACATTCGTCCTTTCTCCGTTTCCGGGTGTCCTCCATTATCTTGTGTGCCTCCGATCTCTTTTTTCTATACCATATTGCAGCATCTTCCCGGGTGAGTGATTTGAACTCTTTACAAATTGCTCTAACATCGCGAAACCAAAACATTTTCGGTGAGTCATATTCTGGTCCCTTTCTAAGATAGGGTAAACAATTGGACGTATCAACCAGTAACAGTGCACCACTCGGGAGATCACGATTGCTTGAAAGAAGAAATTCGCTTGCAAGGTTAAACATCCAATCATAATAATAAGCACTGAAATGATCATAAATGCTATTCACCTTACAACTTTTCTATTAAAACACTTTTTACAACATCTTACACGAAATACCCAGTAAACCTTACAATATTCTTTTCGTGTCCCACAGAATTGACATCCCTTCTCGATTAGGCCCAGTCTGGTATAAGATTGCTCATCCATATCAGCAAATGGTTTCAACTGTAGGTATGGCAGAAATTTTAGTCTAGAGGTTCGCCAAATGTCCTGAGTGCCCGGGGAGGCGGAGTTCAACCAATACCTAAATTGTTTGCAAACTTCTATGAGGGTGAACAGGTCTAAAGGATGTAGGTGACTACATATTTCTATAAAGATATCAACAGGAATGATGGTCATATGTGAACCATGATGCCCTTGATAAGTTGACGACAAAGGAATTTGTGCCATCCACCAAGTTCAATCAAAAAGAGTTGCATGGTTGATAGACTATACTATATACTGTATATGTATTAAACAAATGCCGATTATAGCAACTTATGTGTGTGTGCTACAAAAAAATCATATTTGGCAAATTGTGGTGATATCCGATTGGGGAGAATGACATGACATGACCGAACTCTTTGATTTATATTTTGCTCGTACTGTAATAATCTATTTAAATTCACCATAAATTTTTTAATAACGTAGAAGAATCCCAATTAATTTTTTATGTAAAAAAAAATCACCTTATGAATCATCGTATTAAAAAATCCAATATATTTAAACATTTCTAATTAATCTTGATATAAACTTTAAAAAATAAAGTTATCACCCGTTTTTTTTTTTAAAAAAAAAAAATTATAATTCTAGCAAAATATTTTGAATCATTTAAAAAAATGTTATTTTCATGTGAATTTGTGAATAAGAAATGTTATTTTTATGTGAATTTGTGAATAAGAAATGTTATTTTTACGTGAATCTGTTAATAATAATTCGTATTACGTAGATTGGTTCAAAAAAAGTTTAGAAGAATGCTTAATAAGATAAGAATCAAGATATTTATATTTATATTTTGATATACTGTATAAATATAACGAATGAAGTGATATAAGGAATTTTTTTTTTAATATATCATGATGTTATAAAAAAATATTAATTTAAAGTACAATGTATTATCAAGAATTTAAATACATTTTATTTGATAAAAAATTCACATATGCATAATGATATAAAAATTATATACAGTATTTATACAGTATATTTATTTATTAGAAACGAGTTATCAAATTAATTTATTTGATTATTGAAAATTTTTTAAAAAAATATATATTGTTTTTTTTGGTTTATATAGCTTAAAATATAATATGGATGTTTATGTTTTTTATTTTATTTTGATAATCGGTTATTGAATTAAAAATAACAATAAAAATAATGTAATTTTTTTTTAAATTTTTTTGAATCAAACTTTACATACAGTATATAACATATACTTTATACTGTACATTATATAATAAATTAGAAATTTGAAAAATGATTAATTTGCATCTTCCAATTATTTTAACGAATTAAACCAAAAGATCGTAGACAATACAAATTATCAACATCTACTATACATCTACACTGTATGTACAGTATGTTGTGTTTGACATTTGACATCGTTGAATTTTAACTTGGAATCAGGGATAAATTATTAATTCGTAAATCCAACGATTTAGTTTTGATGAAATCAAAACATTTTACATTGATAGATTAATTCAAAATTACAATACTAGATTAGGTAATAACGGGCAAATACATTGGGTGATTATATTTTGAAGGTGGTCAAAATTTTTTGGGATCCTATAATTGTGGTCCTCAAAATTTAATAATTTAAAAAATAGGGGCCGAAAAAATCGTCGCCTTCAAGATAATTGCTCATATACTACATATTTATATAATATAACACATTATTTTAATACATACAGTATGATTATTATGATTTGCAATATATAGAAATTAAAAGGACAATCATTTGTGTGATCCGTGATACTTGAACCAATTACGACCTCTCAGAAAATAATCAAAGATCATCACCTATTCGAAACGATGGAACCTTTCACCGAGTTCATTTCAGCTCACGGGTTGACACTTGAGAGAAATCCACAATCTTACCGCTCTCTCAAATCCATTCGTCGCATTCCCAAGGGCACTGATGTTGTTTACTCTGATCCCCTAGCCAGCTTTCCAATTCCCTCAGCAGGAAAAATCTATTGTGATCAATGCCTTGAAATTCCAATAAAACCGCTTCTGACATGTTCAAAATGTAAACAAATATTTTACTGTAGCACATCCTGTCAGAAAACTTCATGGTCTTTGCATCATAAACATTTATG